CCAAAACATGCCTTACTATAGCCGGACATTTGGAAAAAAAAATTTCCAAATGTCATCTTTCCTGCATGTTTCTCATCAAAATAGTGTTTTGAAATTAAAAAAAAAATTTTTTTTTTAATTTTTCAAAAACAAACCAAATTTTTGGTCAGATGTTAGAATATTTTGATGAACGTTTTTGAAAATTAATTTTCAAAATTTTATCTTTACCGCATGCTTCTCAATAAAATATAGTGTTTTGAATTATTTTTAAATATCTTATTTTTTTCAATTTTTCAAAAACAAACCAAATTTTTTGTCAGATGTTAAAAAATTTTGATGAAATTTTTTGAAACTTTTTATTCAAAATTGTATCTTTCTTGCATGTTTCTCATCAAACTATGACGTTTTGAAATGATTTGTGGAAAAACATGTTTTTGGAATTTTTTGGCAAAACCATACATTTTGATCATATGTTAGATGAATATTTTTGAAAAAATGTTTTTCCAAATGTTATCTTTCCCGTTATCTTTCCTGCATGTTTCTCGTCAAAAATTTTAAAAAATATATATATTTTTTTAATTTTTCAAAAACAAACCAAATTTTTGGTCAGATGTTAAAAAACTTTGATGAAAATATTTGAAAATTAATTTTTTAAAATTTTATATTTTTTGCATGTTTCTCATTAAACTATGACGTCTTTTGGAATTTTTCGACAAAACCATACATTTTGATCATATGTTAGATGAATATTTTTGAAAAAATGTTTTTCCAAATGTTATCTTTCCTGCATGTTTCTCATCAAAATAGTGTTTTGAAATTTAAAAAAAAATTTTTTTTTTAATTTTTCAAAAACAAACCAAATTTTTGGTCAGATGTTAGAATATTTTGATGAACGTTTTTGAAAATTAATTTTCAAAATTTTATCTTTACCGCATGCTTCTCAATAAAATATAGTGTTTTGAATTATTTTTAAATATCTTATTTTTTTCAATTTTTCAAAAACAAACCAAATTTTTGGTCAGATGTTAAAAAATTTTGATGAAATTTTTTGAAACTTTTTATTCAAAATTGTATCTTTCTTGCATGTTTCTCATCAAACTATGACGTTTTGAAATGATTTGTGGAAAAACATGTTTTTGGAATTTTTTGGCAAAACCATACATTTTGATCATATGTTAGATGAATATTTTAGATTTTTTTTTTACAAATGTTATCTTTCCTGCATGTTTCTCATCAAAATATAGTTTTTTGAATTTTTTTTTTAAATATAATTTGTTTTAATTTTTCAAAAATAAACCAAATTTTGGGTCAGATGTTAAAATATTTTGATGAAAATTAAAAAAAATTTTTTTTGGAATTTTTCGACAAAACCATACATTTTGATCATATGTTAGATGAATATTTTTGAAAAAATGTTTTTCCAAATGTTATCTTTCCCGTTATCTTTCCTGCATGTTTCTCGTCAAAAATTTTAAAAATAAAAAAAAATGTTTTTCAAATGTTATCTCTCATGCATGTTTCTCATCAAAATATAGTGTTTTGAATTTTTTTAAAAAAAAATATATTTTTTTTAATTTTTCAAAAACAAACCAAATTTTTGGTCAAATGTAAAAAAAAATTGATGAAAATTTTTGAAAATTAATTTTCAAAATTTTATTTTTTCTGCATGTTTCTCATCGAACTATGACGTTTTGAAATTATTTGGAGAAAAAAACAATTTTGGAATTTTTCGGCAAAACCATACATTTTGATCATATGTTAGATGAATATTTTAGATTTTTTTTTTACAAATGTTATCTTTCCTGCATGTTTCTCATCAAAATATAGTTTTTTGAATTTTTTTTTTAAATATAATTTGTTTTAATTTTTCAAAAATAAACCAAATTTTGGGTCAGATGTTAAAATATTTTGATGAAAATTAAAAAAAATTTTTTTTGGAATTTTTCGACAAAACCATACATTTTGATCATATGTTAGATGAATATTTTTGAATTTTTTTTTCCAAATGTCATCTTTCCTGCATGTTTCTCATCAAAATATAGTGTTTTGATTTTTTTAAAAAAAAATATATTTTTTTTAATTTTTCAAAAACAAACCAAATTTTTGGTCAGATGTTAAAAAATTTTGATGAAAATTTTTAAAAATAAAATTGTCGAAAATGTATCTTTCGTGCATGTTTCTCATTAAAAAATAGTGTTTTAATTTTTTTTAAAAATATATATATTTTTTTAAATTTTTCTCATCAAACTATGACGTTTTGAAATTATTTGGGGAAAAAAAATTTTGCGGAATTTTTCAGCAAAACCATACATTTTGATCATATGTTAGATGAATATTTTTGAAAAAGAATTTTTCCAAATGTTATATTTCCTGCATGTTTCTCATCAAAATGTAGTGTTTTAAATTTTTTTAAAAATATATATTTGTTTAATATTTCAAAAACAAACCAAAATTTTGGTCAGATGTTAAAAACTTTTAATGACATTTTTTGAAAACAAAATTGTCAAAATTTTATCTTTTCTGCATGTTTCTCAATAACATGTATTGTTTTGGAAATAATTTCAAAACTTAAATTGTCCACCTTTTATCTTTTCTATATGTTTTTCATCAAAATCTTGAGTTTTGGAAAAAATATTGAATTTTTTTTTTTGAAACTTGACTTGAATGTCTTTTCAAAACTATGTGTTCTACATGTTTCACATAAAAATAAAGTGTTTTGAAATTTGAAAAAAATGTTTTTGGAATTTTTTGGCAAAACCATAATTTTTGGTCAAATGTCAAAATATTTAGATGAAATTTTTTTCAAAATCTTAGCTTTTCTAAATTTTTCTCGTCAAAATATATTTTTTTGAAAATTAATTTTTCTTTGGATTTTTCATGAAAATTTTTCACAATAAAATTGTCAAAATCTTTTCTGCACATTTCTCATTGAAATGTAGTGTTTTGAAAAATATATAATAAATATAAATATTATTTATATTATATTTTCTTTTCCATTACCTGATATCAAATAAAACAAAATAAAAAAACAGGAAAGTTGAGTTTTTTTCTTTTTATTAATATTTAGGTATTTTTTACAGATTGTTTATTGTGTTACACAGTGGAATTAATCACACATTTAAATTTGATTTAATTTTTTTCAACACTTTTTTTTCTCTTCTCAAAGTTGTTAATTGTTAAGTTCTTATTAAGTGCCCCTCTATCAGGGCTAATGCTAAAAGAGTTACACAAGAACTAACACACAGTTGAACTAATAGTGACCACATTGGGACATTAACAATTCACGGAGATAAGGGAAAATAATTCTTAACAAAAACAAAAATGGGGCAAAGATGTGAAACGATTAATGAATTGGTTGTTCAACAAAAACAGACTTCAACAATCACACAGCTCTGCTCCCAAAAGAAGCGCTGCTCCTTATTTCTTTATTTGGCAATTTTTCTCTAACTATTATCACTTATTTGTTAGAACATTTGCTTTCCCCCCAACATTTTAGATTTTTGAATTCCATTCCTTTGGGAACTAGAATCACTGCCATCACCATCATTACCATCAACATATTTCATCAATCTTCTCACTTTCCATGTTCCATTTTTAGATGTCCATCCTGTTTTTATTTTCATATAAAAAAACAACTAAAGATTTATCATTAGAAACATACAGATGTATCAGCATACTGAGGTTACAATACACACTGTGCTCCATAGATGCTGGACTGAGAATTCCTGCGGATCTGAGGGCAGTGGTTAGCTTTCATTAGCAAACTGCTAGCTAAAACAGATGTTCCAGTGGAACCATATCACAACATCTGTGGTATTTAGTTTTGGCAGTTTGTTGGTTTTTCTGGTTCTGGATCAGGTTAATCCATTGGTCTGGTTCTGGTGGCAGTGAGTGGGCTGGTCTAAAGTCAGTTACTGTAGCAGTGGGGATGGGTATCAATGGAATTTTATCAAAACAGATACTTTTTGGTGACACTGATACCAAACATTCACATCCTAGAATTTCTACTGCTTGGTTGGAGAACCATCGCAGTCTTCATCTCTTCATGTGAAGCAGAGAGCAGCAGGAAAACCAAGAGGAACACGTTCTACTGTGGGTTGATTCCTGCAGTTTGCTGACACACTTGTGGGGAGGGATGAACTGAGGAGCAATCTACAGCCTCACCAGTAGATGTCCCTTTTACTAACCCGGACCTCAGTAATATCACAGCCAAAAGTTTTAATAGTTGGAGCTAATTGTGCTCAGGCCACATTTAAAACATTGCATTGTTCCCACTGTTTTTGTCTATTTTGGCTGCATTTGGTGAATGTTAGCCTCATGAAAAGTTAGCAACACAGTTTTGCATAATATCAATCAAAACCTTTACAAAGAAGTTAGAAATCAGGTAATGCTAGATATATTGAGTGTAAGCAGGATTGGGTTTTTTTTTTTAGGATATTTTATGTATCATGGTTTAGGAAGTGACACCAAATAAATAGCAAATTCTTGATACCCATTCCTACTAAAGAGGTCAAATATTGGTCTGCAAGCGGATAAAGATTTGTTTTTTCTATTGGACTGTGACAATTGTCAAATTTTGGCTGCAATTGGCTGCAAACATGAACAAACAAATGAAAACACACGTGTGGTGGTTGAAAACAGATGCTAGGTGCAATGGAGTAACACATGTTCATTTAAAACTTGCGTTGCACGTTTGACTCAAGTAGGCTTATTGGGTTTGTTAGGAGGTATCTGTGCACAAGCAACGTTAAGAATTTACAAGAATCCAGACGATGAGTCCAGTGATCTTCTAGCCACATCTGACACATACCTATACACACGTGAGCTAATCCAGGATGTAGTGCTGCCATGTGCACCAACATCTGGATACGGTAGCAAAGGATGCAGACAGCCAACGACGTTGGAAGCACTATTTAAGTGTTTGACTATTGTCCTAGATAGGACGCTATAGCTAGCTACAGCTCGCAAACAACTGAGCTGTCTCTCTTTGCTTTCACTTCGGCCACATCATCATACATGTCCACATCCACACAACATTAGAAGCAGAAATTAAAAAATATATACATTATAATATCCAAACATGCAGTTTACAATTCAGGGCTGTCACTTTTCATCTAAGGTTCAAAAATCTTTCTGCCTTATATATGAGAACATTCTTTTAAATTTGACACTACGCGTATATGACTGCTTGCTAACATCATAGTAATTGTGCTACTGCTAACACACTGTGATGGCATATCAGTGGTGGTAATACTGTTAGCAAGCAACATTGATATAAATGAAATATTTCAAATCCTAAAGATTTAAAGCCCCCTAAACTCCTGATCTTACACCCTACTTTTGCACACAAACATTGGGTTTATTTTATTCTGGAGTTGCACAGACTCTAAAATAGACATGTTTTCCACTCATCCACTATTAATGCTTCTGTGCCAGCTCAAGAAAAGTGTTTTCATTAAGAGAGCTATGTAATTTAGCCACAAATAACAAATTCAAACTATACTAAAATCAAACAGCAGCTGACTTTTAAAAAACCTCAAAAAAATCTCCTAAAATCATGTGTGTCCAGAAAACTTATTTTAACTTTGAAAGGTGACAGCCCTGTTCTGAACCATCCTGAAAGACAACAGAACCCCTCCCCCTTCACAAAAGCCTCCTTAAATCCTTAAAAAAACAAGACAACAAGTTACATACAAACAGGACAAATGGAAGACATTAACCACCTATCAGCAGTGAAGAGGAAGTTTAGTCAGGAAAAACAACTCCAATTCTCGACCAACACCAGCTCCCATCCCTTTGCTGCAGCAAGTTACAGACTGAAAAACTTAATAAAATCTGGAGAAATAAAAAAAAAAAAAACAGATTTTAAAGTAGTAGACACACATCATTATAAGATTCTCTGCTATAGTATGTTTTTTGTATTTTTATATTTAGGTCATTTTTGCGTAATAAAGACAAAGGTGTTTTTTGTTAATGAATCATCATTATTAGCTTCAGTATCATCAACATTATAGTCATTAGCATCAACAACAATAGCATTATCTGGGTTATTACTCTTGGTTACTTTGAAGGAGTGTCATCTCTGCGACCACACCCTCATCTGATTTAAAGGGCTGATGGAAAAATCAGTAGAGAGAGGGGGGAAGGAAGAAAGGAAGGAACGGCCACTGTTCGCTACCCAACCCCCTTCCATCAAAGATGGAAGGAGTCAGGAGGAGGAGGTGGTGAAGGACGATGGGGATTTTGTGGTGAAAAATTAGAGAAAAAATTAATTAAAACAAATCAGTACGTTTACATGACCGTGAATTTTCATTGCGTTAGTTTGAAAAAGAATTCCAGTGTTACTGTCATCACAGCTACATCAAAAAACACTCAATATTTAATGGGAATAAAAAGGTTACTATCAAGGGTCGTTTGCCAAAAGCCCTTAGACTTCCACATGAGGTTTATCCCTTTTATTTTACAGAAGAAAAGAATCAAATAGCCAGTCCTTGAACGTCTCATGAAAACGAACTTCAATAGAGGTATTTATTAAAATACCAAAAAAGCAAACAACAAGCAAAGTTGGTGGTGTGCTACTTTTGTTCTACTTTCTCGCTTCCTTCACATTCACTACGGGAACAGCTACGTCCTTTTGTTACATTTAGAATTATTGAAACTAAAATAATATTTAAAAAATTAAAGATCACATTCAATCCAACTCAAACATGGTTTCATTGATGATGCACAACGACATCAAGACAACAGGCTACGGAGTTCTGTTCCCTCAGCATGTGTCGGTTTAATTCAACGTGACTCTACAAGTGCTAATCCTAACCCTTAAACACAACACCAAAACTACCAAGGATGGCATTTGTTAAGCAGTGAAATGACCCAGGAGGTTTTTTTTTTTCAAATTCCTCCTGTTACTGTGTGTGTCTGCCATTTTGGACTCTGATACAACAGGTCAAGAGTAAAGTTAGAATGTGAAAAAATATCCCATCAGAGTGAAGGATGAATGTGAGAAAATGTGGATTCTTTTCTTGTGCTTGTACACAGGGTCAAGGAGTTTTAATTTAGTCTTATCTCAACACTGCATGTAAACGTACCGTCTGTGTTCTACTGGGGGGTGTTGGGTTTTGTTTGTTTTATTTTGTGTTTTTTTTTTTTTTTTAACTTTGCAGGCCTTGAACTGGGTGTTTGTGGTTGACACCATGAATTTCTCCTACTGGCCAGAGAATGAAGCAGTGTGAGGTGACACACAGAGGGACCACATACACAGGTTACATGACCCTTTGTGCCGCCCTGCGAACCCTGCGACAGCGTGCGAGAGCGCGAGCGAGAGCCGTCCATGGAGTAAGAGGAGGAGAGGGAGGTGGTACGAGAGCGCGACAGGCGGGTCATGCAGGAGGAGGCCACTGTGGAGAGATGGAGAGAAAGACGCCAAGTCAGCAGACAGACATTTTTATACTGTTTAAACAATTAAAAAAAAAAAACTGAACTCCATCCTAAGGTAAGTAAACAACATCAAATTTCAGATTAAATCAACTCACCGAAAGTTTTATTTTTATTCAGTTTAGTTTATCATGTTATTTCAGCCATCTCTAACAAACACTAATAGTTATAACCTTCAAAAATAGATAAATAAACATGTGCACAGAAACCTGGACTTTAAGTCAAATGTTTCTAAGTTGAACTTTTTATTCTGTATCTTGATATTTTACCTTGAAACTGTATTGTTTATAGACATTTAAGAACAAAATAAACTAGGTATATATAAATAAATTAAGTATAAAAAATATAGAAAATTATAATAAAATATTTTATATAAAAAATGCTATTTATTTAGCATATTAATAAAAATAGTAAAAATAAATAGTACACATAATTATAAGTGGTGAATAATGTATAAAGGTACAATGATCAAATATTTAATACCTTAACTCACAGTGACCAACATGACTGAACTTACTGTAGCCCATGCCCTGAATGAAGTATTTGAACGCCTCGGTCAGTTTTGCTGGCTGCAAAAACACAGTAAGTGAACACAGTCAGTGTTTGACACAGTTCAAACTAAATACTCTGACCAAACCAGACATCTCGTTTCTTCTGAACTCCAACCCCAGACTCAAGCTGTGGTTCTTCAACCTTGTTACCTGTGTCAGTTGTGGCAGTCCACCAGCATCAGCCATCTGTGGGAGAGCGGCAAAGTCAAATTCAAGGACTTTTCAGGCAACATCTCTGTTGTTTTAAGACTTACAGCAACATAACGTGTTGTAATTGACATCCAAACCATTTTGTCAGACACTGTCAGTATTCATTGTGATACAATAACTAAAGTTGAACTTTTTAGGGAGCAATTCAAACAAAAGTAGCAAAGGTTTATTTTACCTTCAGAAATGAGGTTGTTGTTGGGTCCAATTTGCTGTTGCACTCCACCTAGTGGTGACAGAAGGATGCTAATTACCTTGGAGCAGAACAGTTAAAGTGTAAACATTAGATAAATGGATAGATGGATGGTTATTCTAAATTAAATGAGCATAGTGTATATGTAGTATATGTGTATATATATACACACATCTAAATATACATAGACATGTACAGATATACACACATACATAAGCATTGTGTAAGCATATACGTATATACACACATATACATTAACATATTAGAAATCTAATGGTATATTGAAATATAATAGTAGTGTAAATCAAGATTATGGTTATGTGTTATAAAGGTAACAGTGTAAAATTTAAGGTTAAACTGTAAACATTAACAGTAACAGGACCTGTAATAAAATGATAAAGTTTTAAAATACTTTGTAGCTGAATTATTTTGTTGTATTGTACAAGACTCTTTTTTCTTGATGAAAAATCCCACTCACAGCTGCTTCTTCATAGGGAGCTTGATCACCAACCACCAACATGACTGGACACCTGAGGGAGAGCAGCAGAATAATTCTGATATGAACAACAATGTACTTATGTAATATAAATGTGTAAAAAAAACTATGTATTTCTTTATTACTTATTGTTAACACACTAACATATACATCAGCAGGTTTGTTTTTTAACTGCACTATAAACTGCCTTTTACCTTCAAGCCTTTTTTTTACTATTTTGGCTAATATTTAGCATAATTGTAGCTATCTTTAGGAGCTTAGCATTTTCACACACCTGGGTCTATTTCAATTTAACAACTTTGAAGTATTTAGCTGATTTTTTAATATACTTTACGGACTTTATTTTATGCCAAAATGTTCAACCCTTGTTTGTTTTGGTTGAAATAAATTAAATGATTTTTTAAATGATGAATAGTCTGCACCTATGTAGTACTACTCAAAGAGTTTTTACACAACGGGTTTGGCCATCAACCCAGGGGTGGCATAAAACCTTCAGTCATTTCTAGGCTATCTCTGAGGTCATCACTGTTGGTCCTGGCTAACAATAAGAGTTTGAAAATAGAACTCAGGAAAGTAAAGGATGGTTTTCTTTCAGATTAAATCATGCCTGACTTGACTTTAAAAAAAAAACAAAAATTATTTTGTAGTTTATTTACTTGAAGGTACTGCTGCGTTCCAGGATCAAATCTCTGCGGCTGTTTGGGAATAAACACAGAGAGAATTAACCTTCAAATTTTTGTGTTGAATATTTGTGTTTTTGGAATATGTGTTAATCATAAAGACCTGTTGTAGGTTTTCCAGAAGAGATCGATGTTGACCAGATTAGACGATTTGGAGATTAGCTCTCTGTGAGACTGGACCAGGTCCGTGTTTGCCGACAGCTCCTCCTACAGGACGGTCCGGGACATGACAGAGAGCCAGAGGTTTGTCTAAATGAACGTCATTTAACAAAGGAAAAATAGCAGTGGATGAAGGAGTACCTGACTGAAGAGATGAGACAGGATCTGATCTGTTACTGATGACGTCACTGAGCTCAGCTGGAGAAAAACAACACAAAATAGATTCAATTATTAAACCAGTTTAACAAGTATTGACTAAGTCGGTGAATGTCAGCATCATCAGGAAGTCATTCTCTCCAGTAATGTCATTAAAATGATCAAATATTTGCTTTGGGACAAACAGAAAACATCTCCTGAGGTAAAGAGGAAGGACGACAAGGTAAATCCACAAATTATATTAAAAGAAATTGTAGAAAAAGAAAGAAAAAAACAAGGAAACAGACAAAAAAAAAGAAAAGAAGAAGAGAACCTTCTGAGTCGCCCAGTCAATCCATCCACGAGCGTTGGTGTCAATGTTGACCAGAACCAGACCTTCCACTGAGTCTGGGTTTGCCAGCTGGGAAGAAAATACACAATACATTCAGTATTGTGGGTTTACCTTCATTTTAAATCCTTATGTATAAACACAAATGGAGACAGTGTAAGAGAGACTCAAAAAACAGTTGTTACTGATGAGAGATGGAGAATAAGTTCAATGTAAAATCCATTTTAAAGAAAGATGATAATGAATTCAAAAACAACAGCGTGTCTAAAACATACTGTGAACTTGGAGAGAATGTAGGCTCCCGCTCCAACACCAATTCCAATTACAGTCTTGAAACTGACAGTAGAGGAAACCAGAGACACCAGAGTCAGTCAAAAATTCATCATCATTATCCAGGTCTATCAAATTTCATTGTTCTCTTTTAAGAGAACAAATAATTAGAACTGACTTGAAAAACTGAAGAACAGCCGGAATCATCTCCGCGATGGTGTCCATGGACGGGTACTGGTAACTGTAACACAGGAAGAAAAGGAGGAGCAGGTCATAAAAGAGTAGGTGTAATTTAAAGCCAAGATCTGGACAACAACACTTGGAGACCTTTTGTTTTTTTTTAAAGAAAGAGAGAATTTATCAAGTCAACATTAGTGTCAAGCATTCTCATGTCTGACCCTGTCGGGAAGGCAGCAGCTCCTTCTTCTTGTCCAGGAGCATCAACATGAATCAGTGTGAAGTGCTTGACGATCTCTTGCATCTCCTCAAATCTGAAGAGTGGAGAGAAGCAGCTCTTACCTGCGGAACAAACAAAAAAAAAACATTGTTATAACTGAAATGTTTTATGATTTAAAAACTTATGAGATGAGTGAGCAAAAACATTATACATACTGTCCAGTCCCACATCGTGGAAAGTGAGGACGGCAGGTCTACGGCTGGTCCGAGAGCCATGCAGGGTCACGTGCAGAACACCATGTGGAGTCTCCACACTGTGCTCCTGCAGGACATGGAATACATCAATTCAACACTGGCACTATAATGCAACCACTAAATTTCAGCTAAGCAAGTTTTGAAAATTGCAGCGGCCATGAACCTCATTTTAATCAATGGAGGTGAAACTATAAAAAAAGTCCTACCTGTCCTTGGTCCAGGAGAATCCGTGCTGCCAGTTCAGCATCCTGGAAACATCACGAGTCCAACAAATATTAGGCAAAATTTGAAAAACTACCTCAAAAATGGTTACAAGTTTAAATGTGAGGTGCAGTAGATGTTGTAAATGTACTCTCCACAGATTACACAAAGCAAGTGTCTTTGTAAGGTAAGGTATCTTATGAGAGGGTTAGTTCAACTTATTAGATGTAAAATTTAAGGATGTGAAGAAGAATGACATTATAAGTAGGTTAAAGCTAAGTACGTTTACTCCTGTAATTCCACTGGGGAAACAGGAAACACAAACATTTGGTCTTTCAAGCGGCAAAAAACCATCTGAATCACTACGATCGAGATGAGGAAATCTCAAGGGCCATTACAAGGATTTATCCTTGACAGAAACTACACCCAAAAGACACATGGAGGAAATGAACAGAGTAGCCATCCTGACTGATGGGTTGTTGCTGGGAAATGCTCCCTCCGTACTCCAGCATGCTGCAGTATCTGTTTTGTTTGTTAGGTACAACCTAACAATATTGTTTAGACAATATAAATTGTCTAAACAATATTTTTCCTTCCAAGGGCGCAATATTGTGGGCCCATTGAGAGATTAATTCTCTCTTTGTCCACCAAGTGTCAGCCGCGAGTCACTAACGTCTCGTTTTGTAAGGCAACATCTGCACAACAATATCAGCAGAGAAGAGTAGCTGCACACTCCAATCCCCGTCCTCCCCTCCAGCCCCCGGGCTTTGACGTCAGCCTAACAAATCTTAGCCAACACATACACACACACACACAGGAACACAAATAAACCTCAATGTGTGTGTTTGTGTGTAGTCAGGAGACGTGCTGACAGACACACACACACATGCTTGTCTTTCTGCCTTCCTGGGGTCAAAGCATTTTCACAATACACTCCTTACTCTGTCCTCACAGATAAATATGCCTCAACCTAATCCTAATCTGAGGTTTATCTCATTGGAGCTGCAACGATTAATCACTCAGTGTAAGTATATTCAATTTGAAAGGTCAAACTCAAGCACCTTTCAATGACCTCCATGCTGTTATTTTAAGCCTTTCATGCACCACATTACCATGTGATTTAAAAAAAACAACAACCATGAAATGAAAAAGTACACACTTTTAATTTGGTATAAGAAATGTCCTGTTGATTGTTATTGTAATCAATTAATCTGTTGTTTATTTGTTTATTTGATCACATGAAAAATATTAGTTAAAGTCAGCACAGGTATTTGAATTGGTATTTAACGATCATATGATTAATCGTTTCAGCTATGGACATATGAATAATAAGGTGATGATATTGATAATAACTAGATGATAATTCTGGCCTGTGTCCTGTCTTGACTCAGGAGGTGGTGTTTGTGTATGTGTGAGTGTCTGACCTTGGTGGAGTCCGCCTGACCCGTGAGTAAAGGCTTCTCCTCCGTGATGGCGATCTCCTGCATTTCTGTGGTCATGTTGTCACTTCCTGTAATGACTGAGAGAAAGCACAGAGTTAGAAAAGAAAAGCTGAGACGTACGATGGTCTGGCTACAGCAGTGTGTCCATCATACTGTCCCTGACATCGTTACACAAACAAGTGGGAACGGTGGAACAGGCACAGGCTGATTTACACACACACAGAGCTCATGTTTAAATACAGTTTGCCATTTTCCTACGGGACACCATAAAAGTTAATTAGAAATGACTGGCAGCAGAACTTGATTTTGGGACAGAGACGGGAAAAGTACGAGGACAAGGAGGTAGAGAAGGTGTGGATATATTTTTAGAAATGTCACATTTTGCAGAAATGTTAATAATTTCCAAGGGGATTAAATAAAGATTTAAACTCTTTTGCAGGAAATGTTCACATATTTAACTGTTTTTGGTTTATTTTGGTCTAGCACTTTGAGCGTAAGCCTTTTCGTTTATATTATTGCAAATTTCAGGCTAATTTCTCAACAAGCTGATTCTTTTGGCTTATTTCTGTCATATTACAATTGGAATTTTTTTCCAATTTTTTATTTTTTGTTTTTTCAAACCTATCTTTGGCCAGTAATTAGCCATTCTGCTATCAATTAATAACCATATTGGACTGGCAGTTTCTACGTCATTTTAAAATGATATAAATGGCTAAATACATGCCCTTTTCCATAAAATGTATAACTATTTAGGAATAGCCTCTAGGTGTTGTGTGTGACTTACACACAACGATCAAACTAAAGCACAGAAACATTTTATTTTCTCATCCCGTGATTCAGACTTCTTTGTTTGTTTTCTGGTTCCAGCTCTGTTGCTAATTTGCCCACCTTTACTATTTATAGACAGAAAAAAAATCAACGAGAGACGTGAGGACATGTGAGTGTGAATCACCGACACGTCTAGATATTTTCAGAATCCCGTTTGTCACAGCACAGCACTTCCACTCAGCTCCAGGGCTGAGGAGGAGAATTAAAAATAAGTGAGCAGGCACAGGTTGGTATTGTACCTGACAGCGCTGGGCTTAATCTGACATCTAAACCTGAAACATGGGATCGTCTGACGTCACCGCATGTGTGTGTGTGTGTCAGTGTGAGACAGTTCACATTTCATGCTCATATAATCTGATAACTGTATCCTAGCTATAGATTTGGTATTACATTAGAGAGAGATAGAGAGAGAGAGAAAAAGAGAGAAAAAAAAGAGAGAGAGAGAGAGAGAGAGAGAGAGACTGTGTGGATAATCTTTTCCATTTGAAACCCTAAGAGACATAAAGCTCAAGCCCAGGGCAACAATTTATTTAACAAAAGTGACACACACACAGGCGCGCACACACACACCCACACCCACATCTCTCCTGGCCCCACACACATCTAGAACATACTGTACTTTTCAGTATCTCAGCCATCTCCATCACTAAAATCAAATTGTTTGGTATTTCTGATTTTAATCTACATCCAAACAATGATTTTATCATCAGCAGATTCCCATTTCTAAGAAGGTATTTTAACAGTGAAATGTGATGATAACAAAGGTCAGTTGTCAGCAACCATTAACCATTAATATCAGTGAAAATGAAAAAAATACGTGCTGCAGCACAAAGTCAGTAAAAGGAAGAAACACGGAGGTCAAACAACTGAGGGACAGATGTTTCTATGAAGGTCACACCTTAATGCTATGTTGTCCATTCAGGTGTGGGTTTGTGTATGTATGAATTTTCCCATGAACGCATAAAATATTCACTCTGATTAAACAACGACGACTGATCTGATGTTCCTCAGGTCTTAACACTATCTTCTAATGTCATTGTCAACGTTGGTGTCAAAGACTGACAGACATTAACGCAGAATCAGTTTTGGTCTCATGCAAAGGCAGCGTTCCACCTGGACATACTTCCTTCAAATACGGGCACAGGACTCAGAATGAGCCAAGCGAACTCATTGCTTTAACACTTTCCTTTCAGTGCCGTGAGCAGCTTATTATGCAAAGACTGCAGCAAGATGTGAACTTCCTCAATTCATTTTACACTACGTTTTCACAAGGTCACTGACGTGATTGAATGCAATGGGTAACTCTTGTTGTAACTATAAACATATTCCACCCAGGCTGCTGTTGGAACTTTTCTATACAATGACCTAAATGTTTTTTTATCGGTTGAAGCTAAAATGTTTAACTTAAACGACCCTAACTCCCGTCATCAGTATTTTTTCTCTGGCTCTCCTTTTCTAAGTTGGTGTGTCGGTTCTCAGAATGACTGTAAAATGCACAGGAGGCGCTGTCTGTCAGCCGAAAGATTGGGGCTTGGCAGAGAAAGAGAAAGAGAGAGAGAGAGAGAAATCATCCTACTTCCACATTTCAGCTGTCATATAACAGTTGTTCAGTTCATCTGTCACCAGGGACAGGTGTCATGTCTTAGGTATCAGGCTGCAGACACAGTTAGTGCACATAAATGAATCCATACTTCTTCTTTTAATGATAACCATGGAGGCAGCTTAAAAAGAAAAAACAAATACAAACAAAGTGGTGTCTTGATTCCTTCAAGTGTCAGGAAAACTCACCCAGCAACGCTAACACCACAACAAGACCAAAGAAAGAGAAGGAATCTCATAGGAATCTCAAGGAATATGCAAAGATGCGATAGAGCAGAGAGAAAGAGCTTGAAACATTCTAGGTTGTGAGACCTTTAGATGTGCAGTGGTTTGACATAAAAGCCATGTACAGAAAACCAAAAAACAGTAGTCTGCATGTAAAACTTACTACCCTAGCCACTAGAGGGCTACTCTACTGGTTGTAAAAAATGTTACAAAAACGCATAGATTTTACTTTGCACTTTATTCAAAACATTAGTATATCTTTAAATTAAATGAATAAATAGGTAATTATTTGAAAAGGAATGTCAATTTGTAGCATGGAATGTTGACCTTTGCAGCCAATGCTCCAGACCAACCTCTCAACCTGTTTATAAAATTGTTGTAAACAGAACATGTACTGTATTAGACCGGAGTCTGGTTTTCCAAAGTACTACATTTAAACATTATCTCATATACCTGACAGGAAGCCTATATTCAGGCTGACAAAGACGCTTTGCACAAGATGGCGACGGCCACATGCTGGAATAAAGTGGCGTTGTCTCTCTGCAGTTTAAAAAATACAACAAATAAAATACATTTAAGATGTGTAATCCAGTGAGTTTACAGGATAACCTCCATGTAACTACTAGATGCTGGTGTGTGGAGAACAAATAACCACTTGTTATCCACATGACCAAATCATCTATTGGCATATGTAGGGACTATCACTTTCCTTGACCTGCCAATGGCAAAGGAACAGCAGTCTCTCCAAGCCACCTGTTGTACATGTTGTGTCTATTCATTTTCCTGTTTCCTGTCAAAAACATGAAACAACAACAACCCCCCGTGCTGCGACTTGTCTCTTCACCCTTTCATGCCAAGGAATGTCACAGACTAGAACACTAACAGTAACTGTTGCACCAATCAACTCCCTGGAGTCTGATTAAAAGCTTTTTCCAAAGGTACCTACCCCAAAAAGTAGAACATTTCCAGGCAACGACTTTCTTACTGCATCGCATCACCTTTGCTTTTTAAAACCTCTTAACTCTAAAACATCTAAACCATACAGCAGATTCCAGAACCATCATTATGGCATTTACACAACAATAGAGATGATGACCTCTGTCAAAAACTTGGCTTTAATTAAATCCTCAACGTACTTGTCTGAGAAATGAAAAAAAAAAAACCCAAAACAATTAAGACAAGAACCATGAGAATGATTAAAAAGCCAGAGAATGTCTATAAATGTCAAAAATACAGTTTGATCTTTTCTAGTTATAAGACTTGTTTTGAACTGGAACAGCTACACACACTACTTCATCTCATTTCATCTCCACCAATCACAGACTGCTGACAAAGCCGCCTGCCAGGACAACATTGGCCTTCAACGTCTTACCCAAGGACACTTCAGTGAACACACTACAAGAGGTGGGGATCAAAGCGCTGACCTTCTCCTCAGAAGTGGTTTTACACAGGCTTTGTTGTCAGTGTTGAAAGCAACAGCATCAAAACTACAGAGCTCACACGGCAGAGAGCACAGAAACAAAACTTGAGAGGTGGATCTGGGGGTAACTATGTAAGTCGCCCTCATAAATCCAACGGCAGAAGAGGAGAGTTTTTTTTAAATCACCTTCCATTTGCCAAAACATTTCTAAATTTGTAAGTCAAGGAGGGATTTGTGGACTTCATATTGGTGCCATCTAATTTTACCATGTGGGCTTTTGCAGACGAGAACACTCACACTGGTAGAATATTCAGATTTTGGCCTGGCAACAAAAACATAATTACAAAAACAACAACTGAGCTAATTAGGGTTTCCCAAAATAAAGCTGCAAGATGTGGGCCATATCACCACCCCAACATTATATTTTAAAATGTATTTCTCACTTATCCCATCCTACTGACATGATGGTTTTGATTTTTTTTTTTTTTTTTTTTGGTTACAATATTTCAAGGTTATTTAACTGTAACATGTAAAGCAGTGATTATTAACTGGCAGCCAACCGTTCAATCCGGCCTGCAGCTGGATTTAAAAATAAACAAATAATAATCAAATCAAATAATGTTAGACAAAAATGTGATTTTTATTTCATCTTATCTAAATGTGCGGCCCCTGAGGTGTGTCCAGAAAAATTCTGGCGCTCTGACAAGTATAGTTGTGGTGTCATTGATGTAACTGACGACACGTTAATTGTGTGTTAAAACTTTCTTCACAGAATAAACCAAAGAGAAAAGGAGACAAAAATAAAACAGCCTTGACTTTAATCCTCACCTTCTGGTATTTAATGAGGACAGAGAGTAAATGTCACAGGTTGGTGTCAAATGAGAAAACAATCGCACTTCCAAAGCTCTGTTTTGTTTTTTTTCCTCACCTCATTTCTCACAGCCTAACACCTTGTCATCCAACCCTTCTGTCTATTAACTGACTTTTCTTCTCTATTTCTGCAGG